CTAGGTCTGCTGTGAAATTCCTTATTGAGGCCTCGTCATGGAGTCTAAATGAAACTTTGTTGTATTCGAGCGGTGGCTTACTAATGTTTGTTAAGAGGAAGGTTGGGTAGTGGTCAGTAGTGCTGTCTGTGATTATCCCTGATTTAAGGGGGCTAGTATATTGGTCCATATGTGGTCTATTATGGTTGCACTTGTCTCAGTCAGCCTGGTTGGTTTAGTTATTGTTGGTATGAGAAGTGTGTTGTTCATATTGTTGATGAAATCAGTTACAGTCTGATCATGTGGCAGGCCAAGGTTGATATTGAAGTCTCCAGCTAAGAGGTGGTGCTTGTTCATTTGTCTGTTTGTTATTAGTGACTTTAGATTCTCACTGAAGTTTGGGATGTTTGTGTGGGGTATCCGGTATATGGCACCGATTGTTATAGGCGTCTTGAGGTTTTTTACAGTAAAATTAGCAAAAATGTATTCCCCATATTCATCACTAAAGCAATTAGTGCTAATACAAGATAGTTGGTTAGAGTAATAGATTGCAGTACCACCCCAACTTGGTATGGTCTGCAGTTGTGGATTGCTGTGTATCCTGGTAGTGGGTAGGTATCAATTGTGTCCTGCTTAAGCCAGGTCTCAGTAAGAATAATGCAGGAGAAGGTGTCTTTAGTGACTCAAGGAGTGCCAGGAGGTCATCATAGTGTTTGCTTAAGGACCTGATGTTGTAGTTAAGAACTGATAGACTTTGAGCAGTGTTCAGGATAGTGCTGGCTTGTGATGCTGTGTAATAAAGGCAGTTACTTTCCAATAAGTTTTGATTGTGTGTTAGATTATGGAGGTTTAGATCAGGGTCAACGTGATCATTCATCTTTTAGGTTTAAATAGTGGTTGTTTATATCCTGTATTATGTGGTGAGTTCTAATACTGATTTCTGTAGTGGTGGGAGGTTTGGACAAGTATATCGCTAAAGCACTTTGGTCACATAGAGTATAGCCACTAATAAACATAATGAAATTGATATTGTCTATGTGTTGTGCTAGAATGAGCTAAAGTACAACTAGGTATAGTTAGTTTAGGTGTTGTCTATGTATTGAGCTAGAATGAGCTAAAGTACAACTAGGTATAGTTAGTTTAGGTGTTGTCTATGTATTGAGCTAGAATGAGTTAAAGTACAACTAGGTATAAACTTATAATATAAAAATACAAATTAAAATGGTACTTGCAATTGCACTAGGGTCTGATATAGCTTCCCAAACTATTCCACTTCCTGACTACTCTGTGACTGAAGAAATACTTCCTAACATCCCTGTGATTCATCTGTGCGTGTGTGTGTGTGTTTGCGTGTGTGTGTGTGTGTTTGCGTGTGTGTGTATGTATTGGAAAGGATAGTAAAAAAACTCTTTTCAATTAGAGTAGCTGACCAATGGAATCCTTTTAAAGAGGAAATAACAAGTGTTACATCCAGTGGAAGTTTAAAGAAAGTATATATAAACAGAGTATTGAAGAGGGACACCACAAGCACAAGACTGCTTAAGTAACTATGAATAGGCAATTACACACACACACACACACACACACACACACACACAACACACACACACACACACACACACACACACACACACACACACACCTGAGGTATGGAAGACGGCAAATGTAGTTCCCATTTTTAAAAAAGGAGACAAAAAACAGGCACTAAACTACAGACCAGTGTCACTGACGTGTATAGTACACAGTCATGGAGAAGATTATCAGGAGGAGAGTGGTGGAGCACCTGGAACGGAACAAAAGTGCAAATGACAACCAGCACAGTTTCATGGAAGGAAAATCCTGTGTCACAAACCTTCTGGAATTTTATAATAAAGTAACAGAAGTAAGACACGAGAGAGAGGGGTGGGTTGATTGCATCTTCTTGGACTGCAAGAAGGCCTTCGACACAGTTCCTCACAAGAGATTAGTGCAGAAACTAGAGGGTCAGGAGCGTATAACAGGAAGGGCACTTCAATGGACCAGAGAATACCTGACAGGGAGGTAACAACGAGTCATGGTGCGTGATGAGGTATCACAGTGGGCACCTGTTTACCTGGAGTTTACCTGGAGAGAGTTCCGGGGGTCACGCCCGCGGCCCGGTCTGAGACCAGGCCTTCCTGTGGATCAAGCCTGATCAACAGTGTTGCTGCTGGGTGCACGCAACCACTAGGCCACAGCGGTGATCCGGAACTGACTTTAGTGCTTGTCAGTGCCAGTTGAAGATGCAGGGGTTGTTGTAATCCCTTATTGCTGGGAGGAGTTGAACATTCGGGCCCCTGACACTTATTGTATGGTCTTAAGGCTAGTGACACCTGCTTTTCATTGGGGGATGGTGCTCGTTGCAACTTGCCGAGGACGAGCGGGGTCCCACAGGGTGGTCGGGAAGTGTATGGTCGTATGACAAGAAGGAAGCTCAGGGTCCCTCGCGATGTGTGAAGTTAATGAGGAGAATAAATCAGATGAGGATCAGGCGACCTTCAAAGAGCTGGCAGGCTGCACGGTCCACAACTGGCTTCTCGATTAACCCGCAATGAAAGCAGACGATTGGGAAGGAAAGAAGACCGCAGACGGAATATAGTAGTGAAGACTGCAAACCTGCTCAAGTAGAAAAGATCTGGCGTGATTATAACATCGAACATGTCTCCGGAAGCACACATCACCCAGATAACTGCTGCAGCATATGGGCGCCTGGCAAACCTGAGATTAGCATTCCGATACCTAAGTAAGGAATCTTTCAAGACACTGTACACCGTGTACATCAGGCCCATACTGGAGTATACAGCACCAATTTGGAACCCGCACCGGGTCAAGCACGTTAAGAAATTTGAGAAAGTGCAAAGGTTTGCGAAGAAAGGTTGAGGGAAATCGGCCTGACGACACTGGAGGACAGGAGGGATAGGGGAGACATGATAACGACATACAAAATACTGCGTGGAATAGACAAGGTAGACAGAGACAAGATGTTCCAGAGAGGGGACACAGAAACAAGGGGTCACTCTTGGAAGCTGAAGACTCAGATGTGTCACAGGGATGTTAGGAAGCATTTCTTAAGTTACAGAGTGGTCAGGAAGTGGAACAGTCTGGCGAGCGATGTAGTGAAGGCAGGTACCATACATAGCTTTAAAACGAGGTATAATAAAGCTCATGGAGCAGGGAGAGGGCCTAATCGTGTTCAGTGAAGAGGCGGGGCCAGGAGCTGAGTCTCGACCCCTGCAACTACAATTAGGTGAGTACAATTAGGTGAGTACATGGTACTTGATGAGGTATCACAGTGGGCGCCTATGAGGAGCGGAGTCCCACAGGGGTCAGTCCTAGGACCAGTGCAATTTTTGGTATATGTTAATGACATGATGGAAGGGATAGACTCAAGTTTCCCTGTTCGCAGATGATGTGAAGCTAATGAGAATCAAATCAGATGAGGATCAGGCAGGACTGCAAAGAGACCTGGACAGGCTGAACACGTGGTCCAGCAACTGGCTTCTCGAATTCAACCCCAATGAGATGTAGTCAAGGCAGGATCCATTTATAGCTTTAAGAAGAGGTATGATAAAGCTCATGGAGCAGGGAGAGTGACCCAGTAGCGGCCAGTGAAGAGGCGGGGCCAGGAGCTATGAATCGATCCCTGCAACCACAACTAGGTGAGTACAACTGGGTGAGTACATCCACACACCACCCACACACACACACAACACACACACACACACACATACACACACCCACATACACACCCACATACACACCCACATACACACACACACACACACACACATACACACACACAGGAAGTGGACCCAGAAGCGACCAGCGAAGAGGCGGAGCCAGGAGCTGTGAATCGACCCCTGCAACCACATATAGGTGGGTACACACACACACACACACACACACACACACACACACACACACACATCTTGCTCATTAAACCTTTAGCGGTCATGGAGCACATGAATTTAAAGTAATCAGGTTTGATCCGAGGAAGGGATGAGTAGTTACAGTTCCTATGATGAAGACCCGATCAGTAGTATCAAGAAAATAATCCAAAAATAATTCAAGACAGCAGAAAATTTTCCAGGACAAAATAAATTAATCGAGGACAACAGAAAATAATCAAAGGCAATGAAAAATAATCCAAGATAACATAAAATAATTCAGAGTAAAATAATTCAAGACAGCAGAAAATTTTCTAAGACAAAACAAAGTAATCGAAAACAAGAGAAACTAATCCAAGATAACAAAGGAATCCAAAACAGGAGAATCAATCCAAGACAACAGAAAATAATCTAAGACAGAAAATAATCTAAAACAACATAAAATAATCCAAGACAACAGGAAATATTCCAAGACAACATAAAATAATTTAAGACAACAGGAAACAATCCAAAACAACAGGAATTAATCTAAGATGACGGAAACTAATCAAAGGTAACAGAAAATAAACCAAGATAACATAAAATAATCCCAAACAACAAAATAATCCAAGACAACAGAATAATCCAAGACAGCAAATAAATCCAAGACAGCAAAAAGTATTCCAAAACATTGGAGAATAATTCAAGATAACAGAAAATAATCAAGGACAATAGAAAATAATCAAGGACATAATAAAACAATCCAAGATAACAGGAAACAATACAAGACAACAGAAAATAATTCAAGATAGTTTATCCAAGACAACAGCAAATGACCAAAGATAGAAAACACTCTAAGACAACAGAAAACAAGACAGAGAATAATCCAAGGCAGTATCTGCTTGAGTAACAGCAACAGCAGCTGTAATAGTAGTAGTAGCAGTAGTAGTAATAATAGTAGTAGTGGTAGTAGCTAGTCGTAATAGTAGCAGTAGCAGTTAGTCGTAACAGTAATAGTAGTAATAGCAATAGTTGTATTTACAGAGTACTTTAACCGTGTAGATCAATCAGCAATTAGGCCAATGAAGTAATTATATTCAACACACACACAATAAAAACAAAAATAAAATCACATACAACAGAACAGCACCTGCATGAGGGGACTGAAGGCGCCGCAGCAGATGATAAAAGGCAGAGTGACGCTCAGATTGTCCCAGTCTACAATGGGGTAGATGGCACTCTTGCCGTCTGGCGTAGTACCCCCCACCGCCCAGTAGATGAGGGTGAAGACGAGGTAGACGATCATGAAGCACAAGGGGATGTAGAAGTGGAGGATCCTCAGTGGGGACGCTACCACCCACAGGTCGACCAACACATACACTGAGTTGATGATGTGAACCTCAGCGTTGAGAGCAGTCACGGGATAGACTGTGGGCACGAGAGAGAGAAAATTTGTCTATTTTTTTTTTAATTAAGGAATTGGGAACACTCGCAGTGTGCAGGTACTCTATTGCGTGATATGTATGGGACCACTCAGCAGTGTGCGGCTGTCCTGTTCTATTATAGTTATACTAAGGGAACACCTCATGTGTACAATTACCTTATTCTCACCTAACCTAACTTATTCTATGATACTTGAATTGTGGACACACCCGAAGAGTGCGGTTACGTTATTTTATAATTACATTGTAGGAACACCCTCTTCTATACTAGTTATATTGAGACCATACCTACAGCACGTAGCTACTTTATTATATTCGTGGGAACACCCGCAGTGTGTGGGTGTAGGAAAATGTGTGTCCCCTAGTTATTTTCCAGTACACAGGATGCGTTACGTACGTAAAGTAATGAAATCTGCTATGCATCAGTAAGACTTAAGTAAGGTGATGTAGATATCAAGTATTCCACTCTAAGCTCAGTAGGAACTGAAAGTTTCCTTCCTTTGTGAGTATTTCAAGAATGCTCGCGGACGTGGGGTATGTTCAGGTTATTACCTATTTGTAATTACCTATTTATAGCAAAAGGAACAGAGTTATGCTCATGGTGTCTCGTCTTTAATACTATGTTCAACATATAGTTTTTTTTTATTTCACTAGTTGCAGAACTTACTAATTCATCCTTTAATACATTCCATTAGTCAACCATTTTATTTGACAAGGAAATTTTTTGATCCTTTACACATTACTTTTTCCTCAATTTGTAATGGTGGTCCCCGGTTAATACTGTTGCAGGAACTAAGATTTTTTTTTTATTTACTCTTACAAGTCCATTCAAGACCTTATATGTGGTTATCAAGTCTTTTCATTTCCCATCACCAATCATGAACATCTATGTTATCAACCTTTCATCTTAGTTCACATTGCTAAACTCTGGCAGATATTTTATAACCTTTCTTTGAACATTTTCTAACTTATGTTTTTTTTTCAGGTGTTGCCACTACACAATCTCTACATATTCCAGTTTTGGGCTAATATAAATAACATTTCTTAATATTTGAAAGCAATTTTATAGTTTGTCAGTGTAGTATATGAGTTGGTCACAATTTAATTTACATGATCTTCAGGTAATTTTTATTTTGCTAATAAGTACTCCTAGAAATCTTTCTATGTCTAATGCTTTCGTTATTCAGTCACGGAGTTTACATTCTTCATATGACCTGATTTCATTTTCTGCTATTCCATTTACATGGCATTTACAATAAATTCCATCATCCATCACTCCATGTGCCCAGTATATTCTGATTATTAATTTTACACTAAGATTTTGTATAATCTGCAAACACATCCATATATTTCATATTCCTTCTAGAAAACCATTTATATAAATTAGAAACATTACTGTGACATTTACAGAACCTTGTGGCAGTCAATCTATAACTTCCTCTATCTACATATTCCTCTCAAGTCTCTCACCCATTGTAAAAGTTTACCTTTAATTTCTACTATATTTTACAGATTTCGAAAAGACTTCCATTCCAGTCTCCTTGAATCTCTGGAAAGCTTCTCTTATTATACTGATTCCAAATCCTACCTTTTCTTCATAGCTCTCCAACATTTTCCATTAAACCATTTTTCATTATTCCATCTCATATTCCCCTTCTAAATAAGCAGTTGAATTCCATTTCCTATACACTACAGACCTCTTAAAACAGATTATTTACATCTATTCTTTGTAGAATATTATTACATTTAACCTTCGTAAAATACTATTATAATCTAACAGTTCCTGTTTATGGATTTCATTTTAATCCCGTAATTCATACTTCACTACATTTATTATTTCCAGTAGAACAAGATCATTCTTTCCAAGTTAAAGTAGATCATGTTGAAAATTTCCTCCGCTGTTTGAGTCAACATTTACTCTAACATTGACGGTGTTGTTGCTGCTGCTGTCTTGTCGCTTCATTTATATGTCGATGCATAAAACAAAACATTATAATGAGGAAACTTATTGGCCGATGACCATTTATTTGCAGTCGTAGTCTTATAGGCTGCCAGACTGATTTCTTTGTATTTAAAAGTTTTTAAGTACAATAGCTTTTTCTTTATCAGAGTTACGTTTTATCAATAGTTCACTAAGGATTTTATTCAATCATTCATTTATCCTATCGAACTCTTCTCTTTCCCAAGAATTATTCAATGTTTAGTTATATATATTAACTACTAGCAGTTTATCATTATTTGGTACTCTTATCTCTAACATTTCAACATTTTCAGAATTTTGTAGTACAATAACTTGAACCGAGTCTTTCTATCAACATTTCCTCCTGGTGTCTTCTCTGCTACAAGTCTCTTCTACACACCGAGTAATTTCTAACACAACCTCATTTAACATATATCAAGTTTCTTTTCATTTATATCCCTAAGATTTAATCTTTTTGAAACTATTCTAATTATATTAGTACAATACTTCAAAAATGTATTATTGTCACTGTTTCCCTTTTTCTTATTTTTTTCAACACGATTTTCATCTGTCTTGTGTCGTTCTCTGAAAAATCATTTGGTGGGTTTGTATATACCAGCAAATCTGTAAAAAAAAAATTTGATCTTCCTCACTTCACCCTGACTCAACCTCTAATCAATATTTATATAATCTTTTATTTTTATAGTATCCGCCTTTGAAATATCTTGTCTGATTTGCATATCCACATATCCTTCCAGTTCACTGAAATCCTTAACTTTTTTTTTGTAAATTCTTCCATAAGTTTAATGTGTAAATATTATTTTCAGTGGCCTATGCTTGTCTTTTACATTTTTTTTTTAATATACTTATGTAATACTTTATTTTCTTCAAAACTGAATCCACAATGCATTTTGGCATCCCATTTCGTGGTTGATTTTTTCTTTTTGACTCTTTTCATTCGTGATTTATTTCATTTCCATCACAGCCAAAAATCAGTAACTGTTTTATCTCTATCAACAACGTCCCTCTGTAACGTAGAATTATTTGCAAACTCCTTTTTAATTTTTTGGCTAATATTGGCTCTAGTAGTGAATTTTTTATTAATTCTATCTGTTGTTTCTGTTGTTTGTGTGTGTGTGTGTGTGTGTGTGTGTGTGTGTGTGTGTGTGTGTGTGTGTGTGTGTGTGTGTGTGTGTGTGTGTGTGTGTGTGTAAAAGAGAGATAGAAAAAGAGGGAGGGATAGCGTGATGAAGCCTGCAAATCAGCCTTGCTTCGGCTTCTGTTGCGGAGAGGCTGCTACAGCTAATTACAAGGTTTGGAGAAGGTATAAGAGGCATCCCACTATCTATAACAGGAACCTGCACAGGCAAGCATGTTGGCAACTGAAAGAAGTCCAAAAGTGGGTCATCTCTAGATCGAAGGTTGAGACAAAAGGAAAACTAGCATCATGTACGGTGGGCTCCAGAACCTGGTTGTTCTTGGTCATACACCGACAAGGTTATTCACCTGATGAAATTATTCTACTTTTAAGTAGGCAGGATGGGACCGTCTCTAATAGCAGTCAAGAGAAAGCTGACCTCTTTGTTGAACATTTTGCTGACAAGATGCAAGTTCCTGTGTTAAAGTCGTCATAGGTGACAACAAGGCAGGATGAAGTGTCTCCTTAAATCCCTGGAGTGGGCCCAGTGGGCCCAGATAAGATCAGCCCCAGGTAGCATCACCTCTAACTTGTATCTACTAGCATTGCCTAGCAGTGTAAATAGCTTTCTCTGTGGAAAGAGACAAATGTAGTCCCTGTTCACAAAAAGAAGAGCAGAGCGGAAATCAGCAACTACAGACGAGTGTCATTCCTGTCAGTTACTGGAAACATTCTTGACATAATAATCTCACAGCAGATGATAACGTTTTCGTTTACCACTCGTTTCTTTGTGATCATCAATATGATTCCAGAAAAGGATGAATGGATGAATCCAAGATCATGTGTGTAGTAACAGTGAACATTACTGGAGCTTTCGACAGAGTATGGGACCAGGGACTCTAAAACTGAAAACACTAGTAGTCGCTGGCTCTGCACAATGCCTTTTTAGTGATTACCTTCGAGATAGATCTCTAAGAGTAGTTCTCAGTGGGACAGAGTCAACAAGATACTTTATCAGTGTAAGTGTTCCACAGGGAAGTGTGCTTGGGAAATTGTTATGGAATGTCTACTTCAGTAACCTTCAACTCATCCCAGAATCCCATGCATATGAAAACGACTGTCCTCTGACATTTACTTATCCAAGAAAGGAAATGCCAACTGTTCTCAGTTACATTAATCACCAACTTACAGCTATATCAGCCTGGGGAAAACGATGGCAGGTTACATTTGCTTCTGAGAAAACACAAATGATAATGGTCTCTAGACATCATGTTGGTAATGCTATAGCAGTAGTAAGAATAAATGGGAGAGTGTCGAAACCTGAGGATGTAGTTAATATCCTAGGGGTGAAATTTGATTTCAAACTGTCTATGAAGAACCATGTAATAAGTCTCGCAAACAAGGCGGCCAGGAAGCTTACAGCACTTAGACGAATCTCGCATTTGCTCGATAGTAGAGGTTGCAAGACTCTGTACGAGGCACAAGTGCTCTCACACCTTGAGTATCCTCTACTTTCTTGGACTACCTGCACCTCCATCTCATCTACGACTTGCATTAATGTTGGTAGTATTACCAACAATATGTTAGGTAAAAGGACACAAGTGCAACTAATGTGACATTTTACTGTGGCAACGTTTCGCTCTCTAGGAGCTTTATCAAAGCTTAATAAAGCTTGATAAAGCTCCTAGAGAGCGAAACGTTGCCATCAAGCTTTATTAAGCTTTGATAAAGCTCCTGAAGAGCGAAACGTTGCCACAATAAAATGTCACATTAGTTGCACTTGTGTCCTTTTACCAAACATCTACTTCTTGACAGAATAGACTACAAAGCAACACGACTCATCTCTCGTCTGTACTCGGCTTGGACAGATCTGAAATTTCAGCAGATCCTTCAACATTTCTGTGTGCTGGAAGTGATCAAGGTCCCAGGACCGAAACGTTTTTCTAATATGTCCTAGTGTTTCCTCACGTGTCTTTTTAAACTAATTTGTCGGTACCTATTACCAAAGTTTATACCATACTGTTATGTACAAGTCCATTGTTGTCAAGGTCCCACAGAATTCTTGGCTTCATATCTAGAAGTATAAATAATAGAAGTCCCCAGGTTGTTCTTCAACTCTATATATCCTTGGTTAGACCTCATTTACACTATGCTGCTCAGTTCTGGTCACCATATTACAGAATGGATATAAATGCACTGGAAAACGTATAGAGGAGGATGACAAAGATGATCCCATGTATCAGAAATCTTCCTTATGAGGATAGACTGAGGGCCCTGAATCTGCACTCTCTCGAAAGGCGTAGAATTAAGGGGAGGATATGATCGAGGTGTATAAATGGAAAACAGGAATAAATAAATGGGATGTAAATAGTGTGCTGAAAATTTTCAGCCAAGACAGGACTCGCAGCAATGGTTTCAAGTTGGAAAAATTCAGATTCAGGAAGGATATAGGAAAGCACTGGTTTGGTAATAGAGTCGTGGATGAGTGGAACAAACTCCCGAGTACAGTTATTCAGGCTAAAACGTTGTATAGTTTTAAAAATAGGTTAGATAAATACATGAGTGGGTGTGGGTGGGTGTGAGTTGGACCTGACTAGCTTGTGCTGCTGGGTCTGGTGCTGTGCCCCTTCCCTGAGTGGAGTTGACCAGACTGGGTGGGTAATTGGGCTAATCCGGGGGGGGACATGAACCTGCTCCGCATGGGTCAGTAGGTCTGTTGCAGTGTTCCTTCTTTCTTATGTTATGTTCTTGGCTCCATTTCGTGATCAGCGAGAAGAGAACTTCTTCACAACAAGACGGGCAGCAAACTACACTCTGGCTGCACTCTTCTCCACATCACTTCATCTGAGATCATTTATTCCTAGGATGACTCTAGTCTGGAACATGTTCGTACAACATAATGACATCGATGAAATAAAGTCAGTAACCAGATGAAATCGCTGCCCCAAATATGTCTCCAGCTCCACCATATTCCTTATTTGTTTGTCTCATAATAAAAAGGTTTTCATGTGATCTGAAATAACAGCTCTGAGCTTGTAAATTAACGAAAGAACCTAACCCTGCAAAAGTTGTGTTAGAGAGAGAGGGGGGAGTGAGTGAGAGAGAGAGAGAGAGAGAGATGGAGAGGGAGAGATGGAGAGGAAAGAGAGAGGGGGTGAGAGGGTGAGAGAGAGAGGGAGGGAGGAGAGGGAGAGAGAGAGAGAAATGGAGAGAGAGAGATGGAGAGAGGGAGAGATGGTGAGGAAAGAGAGAGAGAGAGAGGGGTGAGAGAGAGAGGGGGTGAGAGGATGAGAGACAGAGAGAGAGAGAGAGAGAGGGTGAGAGGGAGAGAGGGAGGAGGGGAGAGAGAGAGAGAGAGAGAGAGAGAGAGAGAGAGAGAGAGAGAGAGAGAGAGGAGAGGAGAGGAAAGAGAGAGAGGAGAGGAAAGAGAGAGGGTGAGAGAGGGAGAGAGGGAGAGAGAGAGAGAGAGGAGGGGAGAGAGAGAGAGAGGGGGGTGAGAGGGTGAGAGAGAGAGAGAAAGCGAGAGTGGCACCAGCCGCTGGATGAATCCAAAGTCAGCTGTGTGGTAGCACTGGAAAATTGCTGGTGCTTTCGACCGGGTGTGGCACCAGGGCCTCTTAGCAAAACTTCAAGCACTGGGAATTGCAGGCTCTACGCTATGTCTCCTCAGTGATTACCTTCATGGTAGATCTCTGAGGGTAGTTCTCAATGGAACGGAATCAGCAAGACATCCTATTGGGGCAAGTGTTCCACAAGGAAGATTGCTGGGACCATTGTTATGGAATGTCTACTTCAACGACATTTTTCATCTCATCCCAGAATCCCATGCATATGCAGACGACTGTACACTGACATTAACTTATCCAAGAGAAGAAATGCCAACTGCTCTAAGCTACATCAATCACCAGCTAAGAGCTATATCAGCTTGGGGAAATAGATGGCAAGTAACATCTGCACCTGAGAAAACGCAAATGATGATGGCCTCTAGGCACCATGATGGTAATGCTGGTGCAGTAGTAAGGATGAATGGGAGAATGTTGGCACCTGGAGAAGAAGTTCATATCCTTGGGGTGAAATTTGACTCCAAACTAACAATGAAGAACCATGTTGTAAATCTTGCAAACAAGGCAGCCAGGAAGCTTACAGCACTTCGCCGTATCTCGCATCTGCTTGACAGTAGGGGTTGAAAGATTCTGTACGAGGCACAAGTACGCTCACACCTTGAGTATGCTCCACTTTCTTGGTTTGCCTGCCCCCCTTCCCTCTCATCTGCGACTGCTTGACAGAGTAGAGAACAGAGCAAGACGTCTCATCTCTCGCCTGGACCAGTCCTGGATAAATCTGTCATTTCAGCAGAGCCTTCAATATAGGAGGGATGTGGGTGGCCTTAGTGTTATGTACAAGGCCAATATTGTCGAAGTACCACACTTGGATCCACTTCGAGGACAGCGTGAAACAAGCTTTTATGCCACAAGACGGGCAGAAAGCAGCAACTTCACTCTGGCTGTACCCTTCTCCAGAACATCACTCCATCTGAGATCATATATACCCAGGATAACTCGAGTATGGAACACATTCGTACAGCATAATGATGTCAACGAGATAAAGTCAGTTGATCAAATGAAAATGCTGGCCCATAGATGGCTCCAACTTCATCCTGTTCCCTACTTGTATGTCTCATAACAATAAAAATGCTTTCAAATGAGCTGATGTAGGTAACAGCTCTAAGCTTGCCAATAAAGTTAGGAATCCTTAGCCTAACCTTGTCAAACCCTGTGTAAAGAGCGAGAGAGAGAGAGAGAGAAGAGAGAGAGAGAGAGAGAGAGAGAGAGAGAGAGAGAGAGAGAAATATTTTGTGTGAACCCACAACTCATCCTGTGAGAGGCAGCGCAAAAAAAGAAATAAATTACAGAGGTCACATTGGGTCATTATCAGACTCTACTTGACATAGTTACATCGTTGTAAGCATTACAGTAATTTCATATATCACTTCATATTCATAATATAAACAACACAATTGGGAAATACAATCGTGAAAAAATCACGTATCTTATATCAACTGATAACCTTGGTCATTATTATGTTACTGTCTCTACCTGGAACAGTTCATTTATCTGGCTGGTGCGAAATATGGATACAGTCTCACGATTAAAGATATCATTAACATTGATAGGGTTTGTTTGAGCGTGTTTCTACATGGCTGGAGGTCTGGACACCAAGACATAACGTTCCGACAATTATTGACCTGAAGCACATCTGGTGTATAACCGACAATTATTGACCTGAAGCACATCTGGTGTATAACCGACAATTATTGACCTGAAGCACATCTGTGTATAACGCAATTATCTTGAGCATCTGTGTATAACCGACAATTATTGACTGAAGCCATCTGGTGTATAACTGACAATTATTGACCTGAAGCACATCTGGTGTATAACTGACAATTATTGACCTGAAGCCATCTGGTGTATAACCGACAATTATTGACCTGAAGCACATCTGGTGTATAACCGACAATTATTGACCTGAAGCACATCTGGTGTATAACTGACAATTATTGACCTGAAGCACATCTGGTGTATAACCGACAATTATTGACCTGAAGCACATCTGGTGTATAACTGACAATTATTGACCTGAAGCACATCTGGTGTATAACCGACAATTATTGACTTGAAGCACATCTGGTGTATAACCGACAATTATTGACTTGAAGCACATCTGGTGTATAACTGACAAGTGTAAAATTTACAATGTTGAATATGAAACTAAACATCGAAGACTGGCATAAGAGGAGTGTTAGCGTGTACCTGGATCGTAGATGGCGGTCCAGTAGGCTGACGTGATGAGTAGAGCTGGAAGAAACACCAGGTTCTGGAGCGCCCACAAGACCTGCGAAGACTCTCTTGAAAATCTCTACGAAAATTATATCTCCTTAATCTAAATATCCTAAGTGTAAAAAAATTATACGACAAAATAACGCTTACTGACAAACTTCTTTTATATCCAGTACATAAATAACACGAGTGAAAAACATGATTGTCACTATAATAATGCTTGGAAAATAATAAACCACTTCGTTATTAAAATATCAGATGGAGCGCACATGTTACATCAGAAAAGTTCGTATCACATATATAAACATGTGCCGTTCCAGTGTATCATTTTATATACCATGAGTCTGGCAGGAAAGCAACTACAAGGTATAAAACAATGCTGTGTTTATTTCAGGGAGAGCAAGCGACCGCTTACACACCAGAGAGCAAGCGACCACTTACACACCAGAGAGCAAGCGACCACTTACACACCAGAGAGCAAGCGACCACTTACACACCAGAGAGCAAGCGACCACTTACACACCAGAGAGCAAGCGACC